GAGCCACATATTTATGCCATGCATTAGGGCCTCTAAGTTTGCTCCTATTTTTTTACTGATGATTCTTTTCAGGTTTACCTTTAGGTTTTTGATCCATCTTGGATTCGTTTGTTGACAGGGTGTGAGATATGGGGTTCCTGTTTCATTCTTCTTGCGTGGTGTTTGATGACCGTGGCAGCGTTGAATACTGTTCAGACACATTGGGATTTCAATGACTTTTATTTTTCCCCATCAGTAGCCTGGGCACACGGGTTCTTCCGGGGGAGCCATTGAGAAAGTGCCATTTCCATCCCACCATCTAGACGGCGCACTGCCAACATGCCAGCACTGTGGATGTGCACCGACTCCGGCATCTGTGTCAGGCTTCTCCACCCCCCTTTCCACACCATACTCTGCAGCTGGAAGTCACTATGTGCACCCACTCTTCAGGAACGAGGGGGTGGGGAGTGCCATGCGCCAGCTCATTGAAGATGCAGTGTCTGCAGGCATTATTTGTCATTCTGCTGCCTTGGAGAGCTGTCTCTTCTGCAGCATGTTTATGTACTCAGTGAGTTCATTGTATCACTAAGGACTCATGGGTCTTTATTTTCTATCTTGGGTTGTAATCCAGTGCTCAGATGGTGTTAGTTCCGGCCACTGGGAACCTCTTCCATTGGCTCCTGGGTCCCTCTGGCATACCTTCATTATGTGTGAGTGTGGTGATATGGTAAGTTTTTTGCTATGCATGAATACTCAAGAAAGCATCCCTGTGACCAAACTAGTGAGCATGCATATGGCCTCCAAGATTCCTCTCACTGCCCCTCCTCCCCCAGGCAACTTGCCACCCCCACCCCGTTGGTTTACGTTTTAGGGAGTTGTAAATAAATGGAGCCACACAGCATCTACTTTCTTTTCCTTTTCCTTTGAATCTTTGATTTTCCTCACAGCTAACACAGCTTGTTGGGTTCCTTGTTAATAAGGACAACATAGTTCGGAGACATTTCTCATGATGGCGGCATCCTCATTCATTCCCTCCTGGGGCAAGAGCAGGAGGGCAGGAGCTTAGGTAGAAAAGATGCAAACTTGCTGGCTGTGCCTGGATTGCAGATCCAGATGGAGAGTCAGGATAGGTCTGGTTTGAAACAATAGGCTGGGGTCTTCAAGACAGATAGTGGTAGAATCCATGGGAGAGAAAGGGCATGTACCTGGGTGCCCAGTAGAGCCAGGGCTGAACCCTGAGGAACTGGATTCCTGAGCGCAAGGATGCATAAGGGGAGATGGGGAGACAGAGAAGGGTGTCCTGAGAACCTGTGAAAACCCCAGAGGCCACCTGGAGGAGACTGGCCAACAGAACCAGAGGCTGAGAGGCCATTGCAGATGTTTCGGGGTGGAACAGGGCTTCCAGGCTGACAGAGCTGGGTTCTGCCTGAACACGGGCTTTGTCCTCTCTGTGCTGAGAGTGCTGGACCTGGGCCACCTGCCCCAGAGCAGGGAGGCCCACAGCCATGGCTAGGACAGGGCATCCTGAACCTCCTTCAGCCTGCGTGGAGGGAGGCCGTACTCACCTGCTTGGCCCCTAATTAAGGGCTGGGCCAAAGCCTGGGCAAGGTGTGAGAAGAGGTCTGGGAGAGGGGTGAAGCCAGGGGACAGGCTCCATTGGGATAGAGGTTACAGAGGGGATAGGGTTGAGAAATGGGCAGGGGCAGGGGCCTCAAAATCCTGGCTGAGCTTAGTGATACCTCACTACCCACCCCCTACACACACACACACACACTGGGCCCTGGGATTTGTACAGCTCAGATCTGGGTCTCTGACTCCATTTAACTCAGCCTGAGCTGGCTCCTCAGTCCCAGCCCCCCCCCCCCC